CTCTCTGGCAACTCTGCAGTTTCTTGTTTCATCCCGTCTTTCCTTAAATTTCACAAGGAAATGTTCTTTAATTAGGTCTGTCACTGCCGATTTTGTCGCCATGTGCAACAAGTATATGGTTGGCTGCTTTCTCGGCCAGTGAATCAGCAAGACGGTTACCTTTCGATGTGACGTGACCTTTTATCCATCTTAAGGTGACCACATTGTTGGTGGATACTTCGGCCAAAGCTTCGTGACATTCTATTACTAACCCTGAGTAAATTCGTGGTCTGTTCAGGGTGAGTAGTGCTTGTCTGCTATCTGTGTAGATGAGCATGTTCCTTCCAGTAATATTGTTTCTGGTGGTTTATTTTGCTGCTATGAGAATCCCCGTGAGCTCTGTTTGATCTACACTGCATATTGCTCACAGCCCATTTTATGTTTAGGTTTAAGGATCTGGAGTATATTCCACATCCTGAGCTTTGTTTTGTTTTAGAACCGTCCGGTGTATATATGAATCCTACCTGCCACTTCCGGCTCTTCTGTTTGTATTGTTATAACTTTATATGGCTTATGGAAGATAGATAGGACAAAGCATGTCATGTTCATATCATCCATACTATCTGAAAGCATAATAGGCGCTATTCCATCAATTTTCCATGACCAGGGGACGTCAAGTTGGAAATAATATTCTCGATTTTTTGGTAATAATTTTACAATCTATATAATCACAATCTCTTTATAAATTGTTGCCAGATAGTTATTATTTTTGATAAGGAGCATGATTTTATTTTATTAATTAAATTAGATCATAATTTTTTATAGAACCTTTTGATAATTTTGATTAGAATATAATTTATGATGTAAATGTTCTCATCTGATCTACTGGATTTATCATACCATGGTGTTCTGGGGGAACAAAGGATTTCAACGGACAGCCTGAGCAAAGCTGGCTGGAATCCAGCGGCTTGCATGCTTTGCCATCACTGGAGCAATCTCAACCACACCGACGGATGGAGACAATGCTGGACCTAAAACCTCTACATTTTGTTAGAAAGGGAGGTCAGGTCAGGATGGTCTTCTATAGACTTCTAAAGGTGGGTAGCTAATGCAATGAAGAACTTCGATGGGACAAAACTGGGCTGACTCGCTAGTTCCCCGACAGCACATAGAAAAGTCATACAGCGTCCTGATTCCAGAGAGCGACGAATTGAACAAGGGATAAAACCTCTTCCAGGCAGATTATACGGCTCCAAAACTGAAAAAGGAGCAGGAGCGCGAGTTTGCGGACACAAGCTAAGAGTTGACATATCAATAAACCTGGGCTATATGGCAATGATCAGAAATAATTGCTATAAAATTGGGAGCAAGAGAGTTGATTAATTTTCTCCCTGCTAACAAGACTATAAAGATCTTTTCGGATACCCAGGATGTCAATCAAGTTGACTCAAAGCTGGTTTGGAACTGTATAAATATCCTTGAGTATATCGGTGCCCGGAACAGAGTTACTTTGATTTGGATTCCGGGACACAGCCGACGCTCTAAAAGAGGAATCGAATCTAAGTTCATAGCAGCAAGCAGCAGAACTATTCATGGGCACTGCCAAAGGCATTATCTCAAAATGGACGGATGGTGTAACACTAACGAACTGGAGAGATACTCCAGAGCTAATTTATTCAGATCTTCGGATTCACTCTATTGGAGCCTACGGACTTTAAACAGATCTCACCCAATTCAACCATGGCATTTATCAAAAGGCGTGGCCTATACGGTGAACTATAAGTTAGACATGAGTCACAATAGATTCATCTGGGTCGCAGTGGAAGGCGTTGAGATCATCCCACTCATTTTCAACCTAACCTAAACATCTTTGTTTGATAATCTCCAGTCTTTCGTGATTCAACAAACTGGGTATCACTGCCAATGCCCTTTACCCGGAGGTGATTTCAGTCCCGTAGAGACAGAGCCCTTGTAAGAAAGCGTCTCTATGATTTTTAATTACTAAATTTTGTAAAAGTTTTGTAACAGTAATTAGCCTAGGTTTCGTTCAAATATTTATTTTTTTCCCCATATTGTGATATCTACGAATTTCCTTTAAATATTTTCTACGCCAAACAACGATTTCGGCTATATCCAATAGGGCATTATTATGGTGTCTCTTAAACGAAATGTTTTTTTCAAATCGCACATGCATACACAGTGCTTAGGTATTATAGAAAAAGTATAAAACATATAAATTATAATTTACAATATATAATTAACAATTTATAATTGTTTAAATTTATAACTTTTAGGTAGAGCGTTAGAAACAAAAAATAATATGTTATATATTTTGTTGATAAAATAAATTTTCTTTTAATAATAATCTAATCTAAATGTGTTAGCATTTTGGGAAATTCCGTTGAAAACATGGTAGGTCTGATAATTAAATGACCGTTGAAACATTTTAAGTTTGAAAGAAGGAGTAGTTACCAGCTTATTTCTAAAATTTAATTTATGAACGTCTGCCCAAAATATTATATTTCTATGGTGTAGGATGATTTTGTAGTGTACACAATTTTGGAAAACAAACAGCATGCTACAATGCTTTATATTGTCCATGTTGAATCACCCAATTTATTTTAATTTATGAGAGATTCCCAAATATAAAACGAAGGCAACAGTTTTGTATTTTTTGAATTTTTCGTATATCGAACAAAACTAGTGATTCACAAAAAAATGTTGTTATTGATGGTGGGCGATGTTTTCCGGGTTTTCCTCATCTGTAAATCAAATGGCACTATCAATCATTTTTAAGTAGCCCCGGAGCTCCACGGCAAATAATAATATATGTCCCTTCCCCACGCAAGCTCAGTCGGCTTCAGGGGTTGAAATTCACTTGTCAGGGGGTGAATTAGGGGGAGTATTATTATTTAATGTAGTAGAAAATATCTGATGCCATAAATTGATTTAAGAGCTATATGCTCGTTGGAGTGTTTTATTTATGTTTCTCGAATAGCAATCCTAAATCCATTACCCCAACATTTCTAGCTTCCGTAACTAAATTAAAATTTTCATCATCTATTTTAATGTTGATTTGATTGCAACTTTTTTGACGGTTCATTTGAGAGCTAAACAAAAGTACATAATCAGTAAGTCAATAAATGCGCAAACAGATTTTCATTAATGGCATTACAAGCACTTTCATCTGGGGAGAAAAACTGTAGTAAAGTTGGGTGTCATCTGCATATAAATGGATGTTGCAGTTAGATAAATGTTTTATAAGCTGTAAAGAATAAATAGAGATTAACAAGGGTCCCAGTATTGAACCCTGCGACACTCCTGATACTGATAATCTGAACGTAGAATTCACACCATCTATCTAATCTGTCTATATATACTATATGTAATTGTGTACATCTTTAGAAAATAAATATATTATTTTACCAACCTTTGAACCCTTATGGGTATGACTTGATTTCATGGGATTGAGTATTTTACCCTAAATCAAGAAATTGCATCTACTCTTACCTAAGTCGGTTCATGGCAAATCTTTTTATTTTTGCATAACTTTACTGTCAAAAATGTTTTTGTTTTCTGCTTTTTTTAGATCAATTTCTTCCGAGTTTACGGTAAGCATAAACTTTTAGCAGGAATAAAATTTTAATATATAAAAAACTTTGGTCGTCTGTTCCCCTGAATAAGAAACTTTCCGTAAAGAAAATTAGTTTTATACGCTTTCTAAAGTTTTCATTATTTTTTTTTCTCATCGTTAATCTCTTAACAGTATACAATAACAAGATGGAATTCCTGCAATCGATTTGAAAATAGTAATTAACAATTAATATTAATGGGTTAATTGTGAACTTTAAAATTATTGTTACAATGTTAATGTGTAAATAAAATATATTGCGGTTTATTTTTTCCTTTACAAGAATATGCTATTATGATAGTGCTATTAGTAGGAGAACCCATTGCAAATTTCGGCCGTTATCTATGCCAATCACTATCCTGAGCAGAGTGGTTAAAACACTTCCGATGCCATAATTAGCGCGATGAGAATTATGCCCATGGGTACCCATTGATTAACAGAATTCAAAAAATTACTTGTGTCACTTATTTTTGCAGCCAAAATTCTCCTTTCACGTGTTTACGAGTTAAAACAGTATACAATCGAAAGGTCATAAATTCCCATTCGAAAATATCCATAGGTTCCGCGATTTAACCTGAGCTAAGTTGCTGGCACAGCGCAATTTCCAAATCGCTCCTAAGCCCCAGACAATTTATTTCATATACAAAAATGAAGATATGAAAGCGGTAATTGTTTGCCCTGATAATTATAATCCTAATTACTTGAGAACCTCTGATAGAATCCCCGATTTGTGTCTCAATTTTATATACTTTTCATTTTCAATTATCAATATACAGGTTTATTATTTTATTTACCATAATAATTTGATAGTTATTTATTTAGGTATATTTTATTACTATTTATATCCGTCGAAACAAGTAAACTATTGACTTATCGAGTGAACCACTTTATTTATTACTTTATAAAGATTTATAGTTATTGGTATATTGTTTCTTATAACAGCAGGCATCGCGGAAATAATTCTAAACGGAAAAAATGTTCATATCAAATTGAATTTATATAGCAAAATAACTTTTCGGCTAATTGAGAATTGGCAAGATGCTGTTTTCTAATAAAACTACATATTGAATTTTGAGCAAAAATGGAACAACAAATAAAAAATATTAGGTACTCAAATATACCGAAGAAATAATTATAAGCATCATCAATGTCAGAAAATTTGTATAATTCGTCCCACGGCTCGTTTTGTATCATTTGAATAAAATACATAGTATTGTTACAGTTAAAACTTGGATGTTCTTTTAGATGAAGACATTTTATTATTGGTTCCACACAGCACAGTTTTCTTGTCAGAGATTACATTTATATTTAAATAGCCTGTATAAAATTTTGGATAAAATATACTGCAATATTCTAATGTTCGAATTTAATGAAATTATTTTCTTTCTAGGTCAGATGAAGACGATCCAACTGGCAGTAAGTTCACTAGAATGGAAGACGAAAACATCCAAGACAAGGAACGATTTGCCAGGTATCTATTAACTCCCTGATTTTCTCACTCTCCGATACTCATGGGTCATACTGAAATCGAAAATTATTAAGACACGCCAAGTATGGAATGATCCACAAACAATGTTTATAAAATAGGTAATGGAAAAATTCACGTATGCCGGAGAGTACAATTCTTGTTCTTCTTTTAATCCAGAGGTGTTCGTAGTTATCACGGACGTGTCTTTGTCAATCATGTCTACTTTAGAAACATTTTTTTGTGGATTACTCTTTATATAGCTACAGTTAGTAATATAATTGACAAAATTGTAAAATGCCTTCTTAACACCAGAAAAGTCAGGAAAAGGACCAGACAGCTTATCGATATCTTAATTCTAATAGATCTTATGACAAACGACTAAAATTTTACAGAAAAAAACTGTACATATTGTATATATCATTTCTTGTACGATGTGTTAAAATATGAGAATAACTTTAGTTAACAAAATAATATTAAAAACGCAGTTTCAGAAAAATGGGGGATATGTCTTATTAGAATTAGGGTATCGTTATGGAGATATGTGTTTCGGTGTTTTTTTTTTTTTGAATTTTTGAATTTTTAGTACTTTGCAGTTGTCGACCTTTTGGACAATAGTTTCCATTGGCACAAATGAAGTTGCAAATTGGCCAGTTTTTAAAAAAGTTGGAGTTTCTAAATTACTTTGATTACAGATATAGAATAATGTTTTACTGATATCAGAGAATATTTCCAGCAAAACTTATGACGTAAATTATTATTACGTTACTGAAAATTGATTATTTAGTTTTACTCTAACATAGGATTATCCTTCAAATTAATATCACGCTGAAGTAACTTCGATTGAAATAATTAAAATTTTATCTATTTTTCTATCGCATGTTAGATTGGATTAAATTTCATTAGGAGTGTGGGCCGTGTGGCCTACCTCCAAATCGACCTTTTCAGATCTATTGTGGTTAGAGTACCTTGTCTAGTTTGATATTTTGTATTAGACTCCATATACTAGGAAGTAGCTCTCCGGCGTAGCTAGTTGCCATTGCTTTTTCTTCTCCAAGTGTAAGGAATCTGTCTTGATAAACCTTCGCAGTAGCACAATACGTGTGCTGTAGTTTCTTCCGATTCCTGACAGAATTGGCACAAGGTCACTTCTGCCAGGCCGATGTTATACATATGTTTGTTAAGCATACAATCCCCTGTTAATAGACCTACTAGTACTCTAGTATTTTTCCTATTATTGGTTAGTAGATGCTCGGTAAGTTTTGGTTTATTAAAAAACTCTTTGACATGTCCTGGTGAATTGTTCCACCATTCCTTAGATTTTTTTAACATCCACTGCTTTGTGCTTGTTTTGATAGCTGTCTTTGTGACACCACAGAAGGGCCAATAAGAGCCTTTGAAGCTGCTTCTGAAGCCAGTAAATCAGCCTCCTTATTGTCTTTATGCCCCCTGTGGCCTGGTACCCAGGTTAAGGTTGGTCTGTTTTGGCTTTGTTAGGGCTTCCAAACAGTCCCACACAAGCTTTGAGGGTACCTGCATGGAACTGAGTGCTTTTAACCCAGCTTGACTGTCTGAGTTTATCAATAGTTTTTTCATTTACCTATGTCTTAATACCTCTTTTGCACAGTTATGTATTGCTGCTACATTTCTGCCTGGAATACTGTTGCATGTTTACCTAAGCTCAGTGAGATTATTGTTTTTGGCTTGACACTATCCTATACCTACTTCTGAATATTTATGGGGTTTGGAGCCGCCAGTATATCAGCTGATTTCTGCATGAATATGAGATCCTTCCGTCCACGCTTTCTTGTCTGATATACTTACTTTATATTGCTTTTGAAAACTGTATTTTAGCAGCATTTCGTCTAAAGGCATTCCAATTATTTGATCGTTCTCCAACTCTATATAGATCGCTGTAGGCACGTCCATGCAAATTGCTTTTGGGTGATGGAACTTTATACAGTCTGTATGTGACGGACCTGGCTTCGTCTTGAATGAATTTGTGTAGTCGTGTTAGGTTTAGCATGACTTCTAGGGCTGCTATTAAAGTCGTTCTCAGGGCTTCCGTGACATTCAAGCATGCTTGCCTTTGAATATCGTTGAGCTGTCTAATGGCTTTAGCTTGCCAAGTCTTCGGCCACTATACCACCGACCTGTAGGTTATCGTAGGCTATCGTAGGCTCTATTTTTTATCGCATGTTAATAATAAGTCTGTGCCAGCACATGTGAAAAGTATATTACGATACAAATATCATGCTCTATACGTAAACTGTATACAGCACATTATTTTTATACTGTAATATTATGGTTTTCGCGTGTGTTGGAGCAGACCTATGCTACAAAGCATTTTAAAATATATAAATTATGATTCAAAAGATATGTAACGACGAAAATTGCTTTTTTCCTTTTATACCCTAAATTTTAAAATTTCGTATTTTTTTTTACATTACCTTCATTTTGAATTTACTAATAACGTGTAAAAATTATATGGAGTGATCCACACAAAATGTTTCTAAAGTACTTGGAAAAATTCACTTATGTCGGATATTACAATTCTTTTTTACAAGTGTCAGTTTTTTTAAGTCAAAGCCGTTCGTAGTTATCAAGGAAATGACTCGTTATTGTCTTTGTCGGTTGTGACCTACTTTAGATACATTTTTGTGGATTTATAATCTTGTTACTTGCAACTTGATAAAATTGGGAGACCCTTTACCTCTAAATATTACTTTTCTCCTTTATTCGAAAAAAAAAAAAACGTTCCAAATCAGTTAGTTGATTATATAAAAAAAATCTAAGATAAACTTTTAAACTAATTTTAAATACTAAAGAACATTAACACTTCTATCTTTTAGTAAACTACTACTATTCTGTTACAAATGGAGTTATCCCGATACAAATAATTACAAAAAAAAACGTGATTATCAAATTTACTTCTCTTCAAAATACATTTTTTACATTCGTTTTATTTTTTTGACAGCGTTGTTAACAAAAGGTTAATTAATAGGTCTGACAGTATAAAATATACTCGAAAATATGAAAATATTTAAGCGTGATATTAATATAAAGAATACTCCCATGTCAATATTTTTGTGACTCACCCTATAACTAATAATAATTTACGTTATGGAAATATTCTTTGATATCAGTAAAGCATTATTATTGAAAAATATCTGCAATCAAAGTACTTTGTTAAAAAACATGGCGTTTTTAAAAAAATGGTCAATTTGCATCTTCAGTTACCTGTATATCAAAAACTAGTCATAGGATTGACACTATTGTTCATGAAGTCGACAAAATAACCAAAAATTCAGGAAATTTTATCGAAGCCCATTTCTCCATAAAACTGAGTCCTTTACGAAATTAGATTTGCCAATTTTCCGTGTAAATATTTTTATAATAAGCCAAAACATTCTAAAAAAAGTCCTCGTGTTGCAACAATAAACTTGCTTTGTAAAACAAGTTTTAGAATTATCTTTAATTTATTATTTTATTGGTGCAAGTTTAAACTGTATGAATTTACTTAAGTTTGATCTACACTGAGAAAAAAGTTTAACTGAAATTTTTAACTAGACCAGCTCGGATCACATTCGTAATAATGCGATTAATAACAAATGCGTTTTTTAGCGAACGGCTAAACTAGGTTGTTTACAACATACTCAAAAAGTAGCTGGTTTGGGTTTTTGTTAAAGAATTTATCTGAGACACACACTTTGATTTTTTTTATATTTTTTAAAAAGTTGGTACATGTAGTTCAGTTAACTTTTTAACTAGAATATATGTATTATCTAAAAGTGCAATGAATAAAACCAATTTACTTGGATCAGTTATATATTCAACTTGGGATAGCTGGCGCTTTTCAGAACTTTATATTGATCTAAAATTGTTACACAGTTTACTGTATCAAATTAAAATCACAGGTCATTTTTTAACTGTTCCAGATAATAATGTTCAAATAAACTGTTTAGCTAAGGTTATTTTCTGTGTATTACACTTTGATCATATAAACAGTAGATACAGCTTTTTTATTGCGATTGCATTAGAATATGGAAACATTTAATTTTCTGAAACAGTATGTTATGCTTTTAAATGAAAACTAAGTGACCTATATTACCAAAGGACTTTGATTATTTCTAAAAAATTTTACTCTTTTTAAAAAATGTGCTTCCGATTTTATCAATAAATATTTGTAAAACAGCCAAAAAATGTCAAAGGGTTTAATTATCCACCAAAAAAGTTAAGACATCCAATATTTAGTAACCCCACTATTTTAATTTGATATTCACCGAATATTCGCTAAGAACTTTACCCAAGGAGTAAACCACTAAGGTCAAAACGTACCCGGAAATCACCAAAAATTCGTTCGATTTCGGCGAAATCACCTTTGATTCTAAATGATTTCAATAATTTCGCCGAAATCCTTCTTAAATTTATACAGTGATTTAGCCGAAATCTTTAATTTTATACGTTATATATAATTTCCTATGTATTTTCTTCTTGAATATTTAAGTTACCCTTGTTTTCAACTCCACTTTATTTTTGGGGAGCTCTTCACTTGTTTTTAGATCCACCCGCTACTGCATTTATATTTCAGAGCTAAACATTGATTTCGACCATGATTTTGGGTGATGATTTCAAGAGAATTTGTACCTATTTCGGCGATTTCGAGTGAAAACGTACCAGTATTTCGGGAGTGGTTCACCCCCTCGTTTCACCCGCCTATGTTTAGTGTGGGATAAACAACAACATTGACCGAAATATTGTCGAGATGATGGAACAAAATATTTGCTATAGTACAGGGCATGCGTTATATATCTACTGCTTATATGATCGAAGTATTACCATAAAATTAGGATACTTGTTTTACTCTCTCTAGTTAAATTTAGTTTACACTTTTTTACAGGATATGCAAATATCTGAACGCGTTGTTGTTAAAATGTGGATGAAATTAACAAAAATAACAAAACTGCGAAGACTAACATCCGATCGTCAGATCCATCCGTTATTAA